AAAAAAAAAAAAAAAAAAAAAAAAAAATGTATCTTTAGCTTAAGAAACTATGATAAAGAAAATAAAATCCAGAAATTCAATCAAATATATTTTATTTAAATATTACCAGTGTGAACCTCTCACAAATTACATACCTCACAAGAATACTATAGCTTCTCTTCACTCTTAAATCATTTCTAGTAATGATTTGAAAATTTCATTCAAGTGATATATGTCACATATAATATATACAGATAATATTTACACACCAGTATATCAGCTTATTCATGTACATGTGTACTCATATGTATTGTACACACACATGTTTTTTCTGATAAGAAGTAGTGATCTTTTTTTAGCACCGTAAAGCAGAGAGGCTGAGCAGTCACACTCAGCCTGCTGAAGGAAGAGTTTTAATCCTGTGAGTGTCCCAATGTATTTGCAACTCAAATGCCTGTCATCTCACTGGCCTTTCCATTTATGTCCTGGGTGTATTTCCAACAGTGTAATTACTACATTTTATTGAAACAATCTATTATGCTGCTTCTTCCTCACTAGACTATAAGCATTTCGCAAACAGTGAACAAGCCACTCATTTGTATTCTTGGTATCTAGCACCATTTTGCTCAAAAGTCAGGACCAACATAGGCTGAAGATGTAAACTACCGTGTTAACACAATAAATCTATTTTAACAAGATACACTCTTCTGAAATGATATTGTAGTAATTTCTTCCATCCCATATAGACTAAAACACAAGTACAAATGCAATGTATTTTATTACAAAGAAAATATGCTGAGAGCAAAGTACATGTGAAATCTAACTGTGCAATACAAGAGTTCAAACCTGCACTAAGAGGCCCAAAGAAATTCTGTTCTGAGCCACAAGTGCTTTGTTTACCATATTAACTCATCAACTGCAGCAAAAGATTCATTCAATGTAGTGTGCAGCCGCAAACCAGGAGAGGGGCCACGGTTAAGCGCCCCAGCAATCTCCCTGGGTCTCAGTGATGTCTTTTTACTTCTGACCTATCAGCCAGAAAGGTTAGTCCTTCTCTAGGAGGCTTTCTGATTTTAGAGTTTTATAGGATCTAGAAAGTATAATGGGTATATTTAAAATGGACCCTCTCTACACGTAAGTGGGAAAATTCACCTTGGTGTAATTGTGATATACATACATCCTTCCTCACAGGTGATGTGTTAAGACTAAACTGATCCCTTAGCTAGCCGTTCCCAGCTCTGTTCTCACTCTGCTCCCTGAGGAATTCTAATGTTTAACAAAAGATGGGGACGTTTGATTTACAAGGTACACACCTCTGAGCGTCTTGCGCGACTCTGCATCTTTGGTCATGGCTGCCAGCGAAGGAGGAAGCACGCTCCCGCAGCTGTTGCTCTGTCCCAGAGGCAAGTGACCCTGTGAGGACGGGGAGGGAACACATCAGGCACACTGCACACCGAGCGGTCCTTCAGGGAACGCCCGCATCCCTGCTTCCAAAGCTCCTCTCTAAGTGTAGAGAGATAAGGTAGTTCTCTGTGCTCTGTTTGCTGATGCTAAATGGGAAAGACTAGTTCCCCAGAAGGCTCCATGGCAATATCAAGGTCACAGAACTTCCTCCAATAAGGGCGGTTCCAAAAGTGGAGGCAGCTGAGGAAGACACTGTCTGCAATCACCTGAGGGAAAGACTGGAAGATCTTCATGCACAAGGAACAGAGGGCGGATGCGAGGACAGAAATGCATGCACACCATGCAGGACAGGGACATGTACCCTTGCTGTACCTGCCCCCAGTCACACAGGAGGCTGCAAAGACCCCAGTGGTTTTAGCATTCTTTTTAAATGTAAACAAAATATACTTAAATATACTTTCATGTAAACAAAATATACTTAAAACACCAATTTATATAATAGATTAAAATCAAATTACTCTGATTAAGGACAGGAGAAGGGTGCAGAGTCTGTCCAACAAAGAATCTCCTTCTCCCTTGCCTCTTCCTGTGTTCCTGCACTGACCCCCCAGGGCATGCCAGCAAACCGAGGGAGGTGCAGTGTCAGACAGCAGGGTTCGGGTGCCGGCTCCCCCAGTACCAGCTGAGGGCTCCAGAGTCAGTCACTTTGCTACATTACACCTCACTTTATCCAAATGTACGATCAGGCCAGTGATGAGTAAGAAACTCTACTGCAGAGAATTCCAGAATTTCAAAAGGCGGCAATTCAGACACAGCACTGACCCGTTTCAGGCATGTACAGGTGACCCATATTTGGTCCTGTTATTCCTGGAACCCTGCGTCTATAGCCTATCTTATTTCTAAATATGGGAGGCAGCCTTGGGAGCCTATCATGTTAGTGATGGTCACTCACCACCTTTTATCGTGGTGTTAGGCCCGAGAACACACACTTCCAAATATTCTCCTAATAGAAGAGGTGATTTAATGATGATGACTGCCAAACAAGCAAATGTAATGGTTTCCAACTTAGTGTTTCTTCTGAAAGGGCTTTGCACGCTGGGGAACGTAAGGAAAAGACTCACAGGAAGTGAGGTCTCTGGCTCTTCCGAGTCCTACCTTTGGGGTGCTGCTTCTCCCCATTGTGGCACTGCTGAAATGTGGGGAGATGGAAGGTGTGGTTTTCTTTCGAGGCAAAGTGTCACTCAGATAGAGGCCTTCTTTGTGCTGTTTTTTCCTTTCTTCCAGACTTCTAAAGTGCTTTAAATGCAAATGTAAAGCAAAACAGCGAAATTTGACTAACTGAGACAGATCACCGAAGAAATGAAGAATTACGCACTTACAAAGAAGTTTTGGAATTTTAACACGGATTTTTAAAAAAATTATGCAACTTACCCTATTCAAACAGATTTAGATTATCATGTAATGTTACTAGACACTGGAAGAATTTATTTCTGAACCTACAACATTTTTTAAAAAATTCACCTTTCACTTCTGGGTGCCTGCTGCCTTGGGGCCTCAGGACAACTTACAAATTATTATAATGCACATGTGGATGGTAGAAGAGCCAGTGGCCAAAGCAATTTCACCCGAGTCCATCACGACAGTTCTGTGTGGTGACACAGATCCCAGTGTGAGGGAGACAAGAGAGAGAGGAGGAGCAGGATGAAGGGAAGAACGAAAAACAGGGAAGTCATCGGGAATGGTAATAATATTCCACACCTAAACATTCCACATCCACAGGAAGTTTCCGTAGAAGGGATCCTTCTAGTTACCTTTGCATTTACAAAGATCTCAATCACAGAGATTTTACCGTAATAGCTCATGTTTAAAGATCCTCCAGTTTATTATTTTTTTTCAGATTTCTAAGGCAAGACCTTTGCCAGCTTGAAATGTCCTCAATAGCAAAGTGATCTCCTAACTAAATGCTCTTTAGGTTTGATCATTTTAATACTAAGCTCAAGATACTGAAATATGTAAAAATTAATGTGTGCCCCTTATGACAAATATCTACATTGTAGCTTTACAATGATCTATTTATACTAGCTAATATTAAGAAATTACTCTATAGCAAGTGTGGTGCTCTGACTACATTATCTCATTCAATCTTATAATAAACCTGTGAGGTTAGTACCACATCATTATTTTACAAATGAAGAATTTGGGGGGCAGGGAGGTTAAATAAACTTGCCCGGGGTGGTGCAGCTAGAAAGTGACAGAGCTGGTATTTGTGGCCAGGCAGTCCACATTACAACCACAAAAACTTCACAATTTGGTTGATTAATGGCCACTTTAGACAGAAAAATGGTATCAGAGCATGGCAGTCTTATTCTCACTGTTACCAACTGTCACAAGCTCTGAAATCAAACTTCCCTGATATTGCATAGTAGTAGCGTAATAAAATAGGAAAGAAACTCACTGAAAACAGCTTAAGAGATATATGGCAGCAGATGGAAGGACTCTTCTATCGGCCCACAGGTGGCCTTTACCCTCACTAAAGCTGCTATTCAGAGAAACGTCAGAATGAAGGCGTTTGGTCCTTCCATTCTCCCAGACACTCCCTGTAGACATCACTTATTGGATCACTGTTCCCACCACGTCCCTTTTATATCAGCCCAGGTAGCTGCACCTGAAGACACTGAGGACATGCAGTCTTCTAACAGATGCTAATAGTAAAGGCACGCTGACGAAGCGGGAAGGGAAGGTTGGTCAGAAAAAAGCAGGACTGGAACTCTCTGAGGATCTAGTGAGCAGATAAGTGGAAACAGTTCTGAAACAGGTTTTTTGAATATCTAGGCACCACTATATCCTGCAATGTATTAAAAAGAATGCATTGGAATAACACATTATTTAAAAATTTAGTAAATAAAAATTTTCTAGACTTAATGTGCTACTTGTGATGTAACCTTGGACAAGCTGCTTAATTAGGCTTAGCCTCAATTCCTTACACTTCTAGATGAAGATAATTCCCCCACACACAGGATTATTAGAAGAAAGAAAAGAAATATTTGCTTGGCAAATTCTGACACACAGCAAGTGAATAATAGTTATTATTACGGTTTCAATAATGTACAATAAAAATATTGTGTGTTGACGTATGAGTTTTTACCTTATGGATTTTATGGAAATACTTACTAGCGCTCTGAGAAAACCTGAGGTAAACTCAGTATTTTGAAAAGTATGCAGATGTGAGATTTGCTTAAACATACGAAAAGCCAGATGCGGACAATCCAGCTCTTGAAACTTTTAACAATCTCAACCACCCTGGGAACACACTAAATGTGCTTAAGGAAAACAAAACAAAACAAAACAAAAACAAAGGAGTATGCAACTTGTTTTTTTTTAAAAAAATCACCTTTGAAAAAAATTGAAGAAGAGACTCTACAGAAGTGATTTTGTTACCGAGACAGAATAAAACTCCCGAACCCTGAATACCAGTCCCTAGTTACCTGTTGCTCCTGCTGCTGTTGCCTTCTGTGTTTCTTAGCTGGGAGAGGAGGAGGTGTGTCATTTAGAGGGAAAAAACCGACAGATGTAGCCATGACTTCCGGCCAAGAGGTTGATGGAGGTTGAGTGACAGGATGAAGAGAAAGGGTGGAAGGAAACATACATCCAGAACAGACAGGTGATCTTAGCTTTACAGGAGAAAGAGAAGGTACATATGTGTCCATATGAAATGAAAGGGTAAGACAAAGACATGAAATCAATAACCTCTTCATTCTGTTTTGCTATATGTTAGGAAGTCACAAATGATGGACAGTATCTTGCAATGTAATCTGTTAAAATCCCACAGTGCAATCAACTTGGATCACTATAAAATATTTTAATTTACTATTATTGGCCACTCCCCACAATGCTTTTATTATTTAAAAAATGCTCACCATTAAAAAAAAACCTAGATTGCAAAACAAACTAGAAAACAAAAATTGAACCGGAAAGGTGATTTGAATGAAAAGTTTTAGACAGGTTTTTGAATTTCTAAGAAAACTAGGTCAGGTTAGAGTGCTAGGGTGTTGAGCTTACCTATCTGAAGTTCCTTGTCCTTATCCTGTACTTCATAACATATATTTCTTTTTTTTTTTTTTTTATTTTTTTAATTTTTATTTTTTGGTTTTTCTCCGGTACCGGGAACCGAACTCACGACCTTGCGCTTGCCAGGCAGGCGCTTTGCCGCTGAGCTAAATCCCCAGCCCCCCATAACATATATTTCATGGTCTCTAACATTTTAAGGGATGGACCAGAGCCCCCAACTTGTTATGTTTTATAAACTTGGCATCACTCTAGCCCTCTGGCCAAAACCGACATCTATCTGTCCCGTACATTTTCGTTTCACCCGTCGTCCGTTCACCATGGGTTAATTCTAACATGAGCAACAGCAGTGAATGAATGGAATGTTGTGCACACACACCTCTGGACTCTGTGGCTGGCTCACCGGCACAGCTGAGGCAGACTCAGCGACAGCAGCGTCAGCGTCAGCAGGGAACTGAGTGGAAGGGGAGAGATTCGTGGAATGGCCAGATGGCTCATTAAATTCATTTACACTGAGATAGCCCTAAAAGGAGGAATTCAGAAGTTAGACACAAAGAAAGCAAAAGCAGAGGCATGCGAGAGTATTAATGTTCTCAGTACAATGGAGTTAGCTGAGAGCGCCACAGCCAGATATCTTGGTATTATCAAATGTTTCATTAAGAGCATAATCAGCAATTAAAATGGATTTATGGTGCTTAATCTTGAAAAATGGCATTCTAAACATTAAACATAATTCTTCCGGTGATATCAAGATGATTCTATTGTAAGCGCTACACCTTTAATTTAAAAATATCCAGAGGTAAATCAGCATTCATTCTGTGGATGAAATGAGGTTGTCACTATACATACATTGAAAGGAATCACACATCAAGACATCCCCCAAACAAAACTGACAATGCAGTCACTCACTCCCTAATTCAAGAACCTTTTCCACAAATCTTCCCTCTGAGATTTTCCCGTCTTTTGTTTCTTGATGAATTAGTGTGTCAGCAGAAGTGGGCTAAAAGTTACTGGATTTTCCACTAAGAAAACATTCATAAAACTAATTTATTTCTAATGGAACTTAGCTTAGGGGCATGTCAACTGAATGAAAATAAAAAGCACACTGTTTTCTCACAGACACACACAGACACACACACACACACACACACACACCCCTAATGTAAACTTTGCCCTGGAGGGCATTTCAATTCAAAACATTTTTCCCAACCTCCAACTCTCCCCACAGGACAGAGAATTTCAGTGCTGGGTTCAGCTTAGAGAAAATATCTGTGAATCACAATCTCTGAGAATCAAATATATTTGTGGAAAAGGTACTTGTCCATTTTCATGCAAAGTAATTATACAGATCAATTGTGATTTTTTTTTCCCTACTAATAAAGCAATGTGAAAAAGAACAAAGTACATAAAATAAGACTCGCTTTTAAAAGTGAAGTGGAGTTCAATTTGACGGCTGAGTTCTTTCATTGGCTCATTAAGGTTTTAAAAAGTGAGCCCAGGAAAGGGAAGGCTCTGTGAAGTGATGCTGTTGAAGGAAAATCTCTAGGTTGGAAGTCAGTTTTAATTGAGAACTTTTATGACAAAGTGAAGAAAGCTTAGAGCTGACTGCTTATCAACTGTGTATATCAAAGTCAGGTACTTCCAAAAGAGCCACAGATAGTACATGAAGCTTGTAAGGTTAAAATCAAAGAAAGGAAGCAATTAACTAGACTGCCAAATTTCATTTTATATGTGATGGTGAATCAGAAAGAAAACTAGAGGGCTGGGGATTTAGCTCAGCGGCAAAGCGCCTGCCTGGCAAGTGCAAGGTCATGAGTTCAGTTCCTGGTACCGGACAAAAACCAAAAAAAAAAAAAAAAGAAGAAAACTAGCAGCTTTGAATCATTCTTTTGCTCAGCTGACAGAATGTTCCAAAGCTAAGGATGGAGAGTGCTTAAATGGTTAGAGATCATACAACTTCATTGCTTCAAAAGTGCGTGCAATCTGTCAAAAGTGGGAGTTCTTGAAAGAATAAGGTTATAAATTCACCATTCCTAAAACAAGACAGAGAATAAAAGAGAAAGCAAAGACAGGAAACCAAAATCGAAATATCTTCTGAATCAAGTCTTTTGGTACATGAAAGAGACAAGATAGCTACTCAAACAGCACAAATGGTGCAGCTACCCAGTAGTCAATAAGCCAAATGTGCTTTTGACACTAAAAGCCTGCAAGGAAAAAAAGAGACTGACTGATTAATAGAAAATGAAAGATTTTATTTTTTCTGTCACGAAGGATGAAGAGACCTCAGAGACCACCCAATTCATTAGGGTGCCCCAAGCCCTTCAGACTCAGGATGTCCAGGGTCAAAATCCAGATCTTCCCTTCTACACTTACTGTTTTCTCTGTCTTCGCTATCTCAGTAAAAGATGCCATCAGCCTTGTTATTTAAACTGGAATGACGGGATCATTCCAGATACTTCCATGTCCAACCCATGGGCGGGAAGTTGCAGTTCTACAGCTAACATATACTAAGGTAATCCAGCTAATTCTCTCCGCCTCTCTGTCGCTGCTTTAATTTAAGCCTCAGGATCTCCAGCCCGTACTGCTGCTATCTCCTCCATGTTCACCTCACATCTCCTACACCTTATAATCAATGGTCACTGAACAGCCCGGAGTGATCTTTAACAAATGGTCTCAAACAATGTCACCCCCTACTTAGGACCACTTAATGGCTTCCCATCACACGTAAGATAAGCTGCATTTCACCACCGTGACTCACGCCTGTCCCTTCCCCTGTGACATTATCCTACATTACTACACTCCTTCACAACCACCCTTTGTTCTATGTTCTGAATGATGGAGACAAACCACAAAACTGAATGTTTCGACAAAGCTATTGTAGAAATAGTTCTTAAAAAGTGCTCTCCCTCGAGGCACACACGCAGTCATGCCCATTCTTATAATGAGCACTTTACTTCCCATACTCCCACCCCACACACTGTTTTCTTTGTAGAGATTTCTAACTCTGCTTTTTATAAACAACTTATAAACAAAAGCTGCTTGGAGGTTATGCAAATTTTTATGTAGATGCAACCTTTCCCCTTAGCTGACAAACATTAAGAAAATATAAAGGACACAATTTTCTTTCTCATCCAGGATTCTAATTTTCCAAATCAAAATTAAGAATTCTATCAGTGAAACTCGGCAAGGGGATATTTCAGAAAGAGTGGTATTAGGCACCAGAGAAGGATGGATAGAGCATATAAAGCTGAATGTAAGAAGGAGTTCGCAAACGGAGGAGAAAGTTCCAGAAATAACACTGGGAAGAGAGACAGAAGAAACAAGTAAGATTATCTTCTCAAATTTTGGAGGGCATTATCCTGCTCCTTGAGACTCAGGAGAAAGGAGTAAAATAAAAGAGAAGGAGTGAGAAAGGAGATTGCAAAAGGAAAGCTGAGAATGTAAAGCTCATCTTGGTCTAGATGCTAGCAGACTCTAAATGTTTTTGAAACTCCAAGATACCTTAGTCTTCGCCAAAAAAACTAAACACACACATACACATACACACAGAGCACAGGTATATTACACACAAAGATAATTTCTGAAATCCTCAACGCATACAATAATGAAAGGTAAGAGAGCCATCAAAATTTTGAGGGCCTTCAGGAGCCATTTAATCTTATCTTTACTATCCAACTAGAGGCACATTTTATTGCTAAGGACACATACAAAAAATCATGGCTTACCTCCTTCAAAGTATTAGGGTTCACAGGAAACCCTTTCCCCCCAGAGAGGCTGGAGTATTTCTTTTCCAGATTACAAAGATTCTCCTTTTCCTGAGGAAACACAACAGCTACTGAGCTGGGAGTTCACCTCGGGCTCAGCTGAGAAGCACAGCAACTTTGCATTATAGACAAACATCAAACACTTGCCCCATTTCTCCTTCCTCTCCTCACTCTCAGCCAACACTTCCCATGGGAAATAGCTCCCCATCTCTGGCTGACATGATCCATGAGTTGTTTGCAGTATATTTAGCTGTATAACCTTCCATGTGTTTAAAAATTGAAAAAAAAAAACTGAAACTATTTGAGGCAAGAATAAGAGGCACATTCTGAGTCTTTCACAAGCCTCATCTTTCCCATATTTTGTAAAGTAAATTTTCTATTTTTTTAAACAAATACATCCTCATGTGCCCTCTGGTGATCTAATGTCACAGCCCAATGATGTATTTTCTTCAGGAACCTTTGTGGTAGAAACTTTCTGATCTCAAAACTTTGGCTTGTGATCCACCTTTAATTAGTCCAGGGTTAAGCAACCTTCAGGAAAATATTTATGGGTCACCTTCTTCCTTTATTGTAGTATAATCTATATACAGGGAAATGCATAGATCCTAGTATTCATGACTTTTCACAAATGGAACAACGTCCCACCCAATATAAAGACCACAGTTATCACCCCAGAAGTTTTCTCCTGATACCTTCCAATTAATGCCTATCCTAGTGGGCAGCCTTATTGATTTCTAACCCTCTACACAGGTGAAATCATACAGTTTTGCTTTGTGTAGCTGCCTTCTACTCCATGATATCACACATATCTACAGTTCACTCTATTTTATTGTTGAAAAGTATTATATTATATTACATATGTGTACCCAAAGCCTTGTTTATCCATGTATCTATTGGTAAATATTTTGGTTGTTTCTAGTTTTTTTTTTTTTTGTATAGTATTATTTTAAAAAGCTACTTTAAATGTCTCATATATCTTTTTTATGAAGAGCTATTTTTCATTTCCCCTGTGTAAACATCCAGGAGTAAAACTGCTGGGTCACAGGCTGAGCAGACGTTTAAAGCTGTCAGATAAACTACCGAGGAGTTCTCCGGTGGGGTAGTACATTTTATTCACTTCAGCAGTCCATGTAAGTTGACTTTCTTGCTGACATTTGCAAATTCTACTTTTAAACATTAGTCATTTTAGGTGGGGTGAGATGAATCGCATGACTGCTTTAATTTCCACTTCCTTGATGACCAATGGTGAGTATTTCTCCAGGTGATTTATGGGCCCTTCATATATCTTTTTTTGTAACATGCCTGTTCAAGACTATTGCTGACTTTTTAAAAGTTGACTGATGATTATTTATTGAGGTGTAGGAGTTTTAACATCTTCTAGATGCAAGTGTATCTTTGTAATTTTCTATAAGACATCATTGTCGGGGATGGGGATTTAGCTCAGCGACAAAGTGCCCGCCTGGCAAGTGCAAGGTCGTGAGTTTGATTCCCGGTACCGGAAGAACAGACAAAAAAAAGAAAAAAACAAAACAAATCATTATCCAAGACTCCAGTGTATTTGCCCTCTTACGTTTCCTTGTGGAAGTGTCGGCATTTCAATTTCTTTATTTAGGTCTAGAACCTGTTTGAATTAACTTATATATGTGACATAAAGGTGTCGATATTTGCTTTTTTCCATGGCTACGTATCAATCCATTTGTTGAAAAGATTTTCTTTCCCATCCTGAATTGCCTCAAAATTGTCCAAAAAATCAGTGGTATATGGATGGCCTATTTCTGGACTCACATTTCTAGTCCCTTTATCTGTATGCTTTTTTTATTCCAGCACATTGTTTTAAATACCAGCTTTGTAGTACAACTGTAAGTGAGATAATATCATCTTCCAACTCTGTTCTTCTTGTAGAGTTGTTTTGGTTAGTGCAGGTTCTTTGCATTTTCATATATAGCAGATATCTGTTATTGGTCATAGTTAAATTTCATAATGTTACCACAAACACTGGATCATTGTTCCTAGAGGACATTAAAGGATGTGTTCCTGTGGACCTCTGGTCACACCATTGATCCATACACAACTTTGTTTTACGTGTCCCCCGCCTTCCCTCCTCTCTTTGTGGTATGGAGGACTGGACCTAGGGAGTGTAGAGCTATATCCCCAGCCCTTTTTGTTCTTTTGAGACAAGGTCTCACTAGACAAGGTCTCACTTGCCCAAGCTAGCTTAGAATGCAGACCCTCCTGTCTCACCCTGCCAAACAGCTGGGATTATAGGCAGTCACCACCTTGCCTGTCCTGTGTGTTTCTTTAGCCATAGTTTTTTTTTTTTGTCTTTGTTGCTGTTGTTGCTTTTTTTGGTACCAGGAATCGAACTCAGGACCTTGTGCTTGCCAGGCAGGATCTTGTGCCACTGAGCTATATCCCCGGCCCATGTGTGTTTCCTTAGAAGACTCACGCCCAAGTGAAGCCTATCCTCCATTAAGACACATCACGGTCTTCTTAGACTGGGGGACCTTGAAGGCACTTAGTACTATGCTTGGAAACCACTTTAAACAGCAAAATCACCACAGCACAAAAACACGAAAACATGGCCTTAAATATCTCTATAAAAAGGACAATTGTTTCCAAGATGAGAACTCAAGCAAGAAGGTGGGATGTGGCCTTGTTCAACCTCAGCTAGGAATGTTCATGCTGGGTGATTCCAAATTTTCACTGCTCTGTGTATGCCTGTTAATGACTGCAAAAGCACCAGAACTATTGATTTTGGGGTTACAAACACATTTTAGCACGTAGGTGAAATGAGAACATGGAATCCATGAATAATGGGGAACAATTATAACTTTTGACATCAACTTGTCAATTTCTACAATAGAAAAGTTTGTTAAGATCTGGACATTGAAATGCATCTATAGATCAATTAAGGGGGAAATAAAATCTTAATGGATATGGACCATGATTTTTAAAATCAAATTATATTTTGCATAAATTTTAATGGGTAAATATTATAACTGTAATTATCTTTCCCTATTTGTAAAACTTTATCATTGAAGAGATTATTTCCTTTTCCTAGGATTTTAACAACTACTGAAATACATATACTATTTTATTTATGCTGTGTGTTTAAATATTTAAATTTCTTTACTATAAGTACATGTTTACAGTATATAATGATCACATTCACCATGGGGAATTTACACGTCATAACACATCTTCATTTCTTTTTTTTTGCCCCTTTCCCCACCCCTCCCCTCCAACCCTTTTCCCCTTCCGCATTTCCAAAAGCTCTATTTGCATTTTCTCCCTCAACTCTTTTTTAAAAATCCCTTTTCCCTCCTTCCCCATCTTGCTCCCCTACTCATTTGAAAAATTTCCTCCTACATCCTAATATCTATCGTCTATTTTACATGGCTTTGAGCATTATAGGCAAAGGGTAAAATGGTTGTAGGGAGTACAGCAGGTGATAGGGATGAAAAAGTACAACTCCATCCAGAGATTTCTAGATGGTGTCAGGGATCTGTGTGGCCCCAAGGCCCCACAGGTGGACCCATGCTGTGTGAAGAACCTAGCCCTTCTTTCTTAACTGATAAACAGCCAAGAAGGGAATGTTCATTTCTTGTAGATGGGTCCACGGTACAGGCTCATGCTTCAGTCTTTTTTCGGAATTTGATCTATCTCCTGCACTCCATTCTGAGTCCACCACATATTTTCATAATCCCAAGCGTCATTTTCCTGCGTAGCACCTTGCAGGCAGGGCTCATACCTCTGCTCAGCCCCCTCAACGTTGATTAATATTTGGTGTCCTATCCCTGAAATGACACCAGGGACCATGTCAGGAAGCTAAGCTACAAGTTGCTTTTTACTCTTTGGCTGAAGGACTCCCTTGGCATGTAGTCACGTCAGGTGCTGTAACCAGTAAGAACACAGCCCCTTGGGTGAAGATGATCTTCCATGCTTTTAACCATACCAGATGGACCGTCTAGAAATCTGATTAAATCTAACTTCAGTGTGACATTTTTCAGGAAGAAACACATATACAAATAATTGGAGTTCAAACACTGGACCAGAAGAGCCAAAATATTTCACAGCAATAGAAAGAGCATTTTTCCTTAAATCTATCATAAATTAGTATTAAAATACTATCTATTTTAGATACTTGATGAAATAGCTAAGGATGATTTGTTTCAAAGAGGAAAATAAGAAAAAGTATAGATTTCCCCATAGTGTGGATTTTTCACAGTATGAAAAGAACATGCAGAAAATGTTCTTGCTTATTTTTTGAATTGCAGCTAATCACTCACAAAGTATCAGCTTATTAATACAGAAGACTAAATAAAAATATGTACACAAAAGCCTTCCTTAAATTAATAGGCACTCACTATTAAGATGGATTTATTTTGAAAGAGGAGGCCTTCCCCTTGTTAAAAGCTGCGTTTTATTGTAACCAGAGCTGAACAGGAAGTACTTACTCTTTGTATCATCATTATTAGGTTACTCTTTTCTTTCACAAAATGATCTTGTTCTCGCTGGGCCTGCTGAACAATGTGATTGGCTTGCTTTTTTAATGCAGAAATTTTCTCCTGGAAGAAAAAGGGTGATCACAGAAAGATATGTATTAGACATTCAAGACTGCCAGTTTGTCTTGGAAAAGAAAGGAAAGGTTTTTTTTTATCCTTGTTATTAATAGTGACCGTGTTTTATGTGTTGGTGGGCAGTCATTACCACTCAGAAACCACGAAGCATTTACTTGGACCTGCAAGGTTCAATGCTTTTCTTTTCCCTGTGGTTTTTGTTTTTTTGTGTGTGTGTGTCTGTTTTTTTGTTTTTCTTCCGGTACCGGGAATCGAACTCATGACCTTACGCTTGCCGGGCAGGTGCTATGCCGCTGAGCTAAATCCCCAGTCCCGGTTTTTGATTTTTTGAGATAGGGTGTTGCCTCATAGTCCAAGCGGGACTTGAACTTGACAGGGAACCCATGCTGGGTTTGAACTTAGAATCCTCTGACTTCCCTGAGTCTGGGATACAGGCATGTATCATAGTGCCTAACTCAACATTTTTCTTTATTTAAGTCTAATACAGTTCAAGTGACTTCAAATCTACTTTGAAGAACGCAGAGGTCAAGAGGAAATCTTGTTTTAGATGATCAATGAATTTTTGACACTAGGTTGGGAGGTGCCTGATGGGAAGAAAACATTGGAATTTCTTATTTAAATGGAGAGGTTAAGAAGTCACCTTCCCCACTTTTACTTCCCTTAATTTTATCAGGTTAGTAAGGAGTTCTGGGATGTGATACTAAATTCCGGCACAAAAGCTGAATTCTGGGCTGGCCAGCCAGGAGCTATGGGCTGAGTGTGCTCTGTAGAATCAACACGGTGTTCTCCTGGGCTATTTCTAACAGTATCATCTGGCTTTGGAAATTACTGAGCTATGGAAGCAAAATTCCCAGGTAGGCTTGGTCCACAGAATTATTCTAAACTGACTTACTATGTTTATAAAAAGAAGTAATATAAAGCAAGTATCTAAATTTCTGGTTTCTATGACATAGTTTTTACATAAATGAAAAAATGGGTATTTTTCCATAAATGCATGTGCAACATTATACACCAATGACTGTAGCTCATCTCACTTTATCTAGTTCACAGCACCATTTGCTAGCCTGTATACAGCAGGCTCCATAGTTTGTCAAATGTGGTATGATTAAATACATGAAAATATTCAGGTACAAAAATAGACACACATACCGTAAGTATATGAATGATCATTACGGGCACATGGTGAGGAGTGTATTTGGATTTTTTTCCACTAAACCTCACGGGCCCAACGTACCTTTCTACTGACGATGTTCCTCTGGTATTCGGCCACTTCACGCAGAAGCTGCTGAGTTAGGTTCTCCTTTTCCTCATCCAGACGGCTCTCGTGTTCCAGCTGTTGGAATTCCAGGTCTTCGAAGTGTTTGCTTTCAACATCCAACAGGTCAGCGTCCTTTGGAGAACAGGGAATGAAAACAATATAGGCCAGGATGGCTGTAATCTTCTTACATGAAGAAATAATTACCAAAAGCAGTCAGTCTGTATCACCAGCCAGGGTTAGAGTTGGCTGGAGTCCAACTCTAGAGCAGTGGCCGTGGGAGTGGGGTGGAGAGGGTACGGAGGAGAGGGCAGCAAGGGCTTTCCCAGCAGTTTCTGCCTGCCCTGTAGGAATTCTTACTTTAATCCACTAGGTGGCTTTAAGATGCACAGCGAAGTATACAAACAATTCAATAAAGAGCATAAATATTATCTATGGAATGAACATGAGACGTAAGCTCTTAAGAATATTCCTCTTTCCCACAAGTTTCACATGAAATATGAAATGAAACTTTAGTGTAGAGTTTAAAGATGCAAAAGTTAGCATATATCTAAACCAGAGGTCTCCTAAGGGCATGAGAAGGGAAACTATTAGACTTTATACATATGTTTGGTTTTTATTTTCTTCTCTAAATTTCTTAATATATGTCTTCTAATATGCATGCCAGTAGTATACATACATAATTTTCTTTGAGTGTCTGTATTTGTAATACAAATGATGTACTACATACAAAGGATATGCATGCTGGAATAATTTTACTGAAGGGCTAAGCAATCAAAAACATTTGGACAGGGGTAGGGATGTAGCTCAAGGGTGGAGTGTTTGCCTAGTATGCATGAGGCCCTGAGCTCAATCCTCAGTATCACAAAAACAAACAAACAAAAACCCCAAAACAAACAAAAAAAATTTGGACATGGGCTTCGGGTGATGATGTGTATTCCAGGTTTAGCAACTGTAACTAAGTACTTAGTGGAGGATACATGCATGTAAGGGGCAGGGAGTGTGTGGGAAATCTCTGGTCCTTCTGCTCAATTCTGCTGAGAACTTAAAACATTTGGAGGTGGAAGTTTTTAAAGTGTGCTTCTGTGAGCCCATTAAAATGATTTACAAATCTTTTTACTGGAAAGAGTAGAGCCAAAGTTTTCTTCACTCACAAAAGGTCACTCAAAAAGTCAAGCACCAGTCTGAAGAGACTCTGGAGGACATTTTAAAAAGGTCAGAAATCCCCCAAATCAAGTGGTCTAGAATAAGTTTTCCCCAATCCATGAGATACTTGGAGACAGGAATGAGTTTGTGCATCTGCCTTCGTACGAGGGTTGGTACATGTTATATAAGTTAGTCTCCAATTCACCTTTTAAAAAGTGCACCTCTTTAATTTTGGAGCCTCTGACAGAATTACATATGTGTTACTATGAAATAGTTTTTAAATTGCAATTTACAAATGATCAATACCAAATGAAAAGGCAGTTGGACAATGTAGCAAACAATGTCTACATAGCTAAAAGAGTCAAGGTTTTTGCTGTTGCTCAATTAAATCCTCAAAGACTATTAGAAAAGTAAGGATATGATAAATTAGTTCTATCTTACTACTCATTCCCAACCTCCTCTGATTTTCATTCTATGAATAATTAAGGGTTTTAGTTAAATGGAATATATCTGTATCTTTAGCAATGAATAAGAAGGGCTATTAGCTACCATGAGATTTCAACCAACACTATAGCAGTAAGACTATTATGTAGGGTAGCCCAGATGCTTATAATTAAAAGCATAAAAAACATGATTTGAAAAATCTAAATAAAAAGAGAAAGAAAGAAAAACCTATTCCCCATTTCTTAAAATCTCTTTACATTATATTTGGCTTTTTAAAAAGTGTGGCCTTGATTTCGTTTTTGGTTAATATTTCCAGTTTGTCAGGTATTTCAGGTTTTTAATTTCTAAAGAATTAATTCATTAGAGGAATTAAGAAACTGAGAGATAAGTGTTGTATCTTGAAACAAAATAGCTGCAGTCTTGAAATAGTGTACCAGCCGATGTAGTCACACTCAGGCATACACACCCAACTTTTTAAGGTTTTTCAATTAAGCTTAGTGTGTAGTCAAGGATTATTAAGAAAAAATTGATAAGCCCTTTTTTGGCTTTTAAATAATCTTCACCCAATTTGGGTATATGGCTCATAATACATAGGCATATTCACTATATTAGTCCATTGCTTATTCTGCATCTGGTTAATATGTAACATGTGCTATTCTAACCCTGCATGCAGACCAGAGAATCAATAATTGACTTGTAGTAAATATTTAAACCACTGAATGAAAATAATAGCACACTGGGAAGAAAAGTTGAAAATTAAGCTAAGCTCAGTACTCAAGATTTTGCTGGTATAATCATCTGATCAAGCCACCTAAACCATTAAAATATGTGTATATAAACTTACACTCTTAAAGGAAAGCTATTTAAGAGAGGATGAACCTTTTAAAATATTTTAGATAAGAATAAGAATTCAGGGAATGTAATTTGGGGACAGAAATAGCTTAATTACGACCAAATAATGTACACAGGAAGCCCAAAGTCAAATACATTGACTGGGTGGATTTAAACTAAACTCACTCTGCATATCTGTACTGATTGGTGAGCTCAAAGGCCAAGCAAAACAAAACAAAGCAAAACAAAACAAAACAAAACCACAGTGGCACTAAAATGTTCTACGCATTCCTTTTTTCTTTCCAATAACTTTCTTGAGATTACAAGGCAGAACTTTACATGTTCTCTGCCTAATGGGAAGACAAAAAGAAGAGAACAGACATTGTAGGGTCAGTAGTGGTTGTGGAAATAATCTCACGATCTCTGGAGGCAAATGCAGGTGAGATTCATGGTTTGTTAACTTTTCTCCATCTTTTGCTTGACAGCCAGACACTGTATGCTTCTGAAATACAGAACAAGGTAATAGTAGAGCCTCCTGTTTTGTATATGAGGATATTTAGGCCCAGAGAAGTTGAAAGAGTTTTCCAAGCCTAAAGGATAAACTGATTTTAGAGCCAGTGATATAAAAATGGCCTCCACGTTGTGAATATCACTACATAGAATTTTTTTTTTAATCAAGAGATCCAAAGCAACAATTCAGCTGAGCAAATATCAGAAGTAAAGGAAACTGCCCCAGCCAGTTTTCTCAATTTAACAGTGGACCATATTGTGGCAAATGAAAGACTTAAGTTCAGCTTCCTTTTCCACGTTGGTAGAATGCTGGGATTGGTGAGTCCACATTGACTACACAATGATTGTAAGACATGAAGTTAGTATTAGCTAAAAACTATACTTAAAGACTTTAAGGGCTGGGGATGTAGCTCAGTGGCACAGCACCTGCCCAGCAAGCACAAGGTCGTGAGTTTGATTTCCGGTACCAAAAAAAAAGACTTTAAAGGAATGATTGAAGTAAGAAGTCCAGCCATAAGAATATAACATTTTGGGCCAGGGATATAGCTCAGCGGCATAAGTGCCTGGCTGGCAGGCACAAGGTCCTGAGTTTGATTCCCAGTACCAAAACAAAAGAATATACTGTTTTATGCACAAGATCATCACACAATCTCAGCCCAAGGATTTAGGGCCATGTGAAGTTTATGAAAGTGATTTTCATCCTGTTCATTTATTTTTTTTACTTTATGTGACTTGCCACCTAATGAAGTTAAATGTAATAAAATAAATCTTTATCAAATCAACTTTAAATGCTTTCAGGAAAGCTTTGTGGTACGGGGAAGGGTTTGAGATCTGAAGCAAAATGAATTGTGACAACACCTGAGGTTCCTCGTATGAATGAACTCCTGTGGAGTGGTACTGAGTAAGCCTAGGGTTGGTGAAGTCACACTGGTCATCATCCTTGGAAAACAGAGTTAGCAGATATTTTATTATCAGGTGGGGTACAATAACCCTTTTATACAATAACCCTTTTATAGCTTGCTGCTTTGGAAAGGGGCTCTGTGATAAGAATTTTACACCCGCTTGAAGCGGAAGGTGCAGGAGTCTTTGCCTTCATTTAATGGAACAGACTGGCTACCTCATTTTCTTGCCTATTTTATAGTCAAAATCCTTAGCGAATATATAAAATTATGAGTTTTTCAATGGAATCTGGATCACACAAATAGAAAGTATTTATATCAACCTGATTCCAGGTTATTAATAGACTTTCCTGGCTTTTTCTTTTGAAACAATGTTTATAAAGAACACAAATAATAACTAGGGAAAAAGAAGAAGAAAATGTATTACCACAATGGAGACCTTACATAAAGAATTATGACTGTGTAAAATTGTAAGGCAGACTGACAACACTAAACAATTATAAAATCCATGCCAGGTATGGTGGTGCACACCTGTAATCCCAGCGCTCAGGAGACTGAGGCAGGAGGATCGCTGGGGGTTGGAGGCCAGCTTGGGCTACATAGCAAGATCGTATTTCAAAAAACCAAAAAGAAATTATA